TCCCTGGTTCCTCGATCCACGTAGATATCGAAGAATTCGCTTAGCTGCTTTCCAGTGGTTAGCATCTTAGCTTGAGTTGAACTGACTTAAGAAGTTCACTGCGTAAGCGATGTCTGGTCGAGTCATAACTGAAATAAACATTAAAGTGCCAATTAAACTTTGGTATGGATACCTTTCCATTTTATTTTCGTTGTGCTGTTCCGGTCGTTTAAAAGAGCACTTCGCCTCGATTGGAGTTGCAGCAGGTTTGCAATCAACCATTCCGAATCTCTTCAAAACTATATCAATGTACTTTTGCTGTGACATTGAAACTGTACGCTTTTGCAAGTTTTGATCAAATTCAATACCCAAACAGTTTTTAACAGGGCCAATATCCTTCATAGGCCTTGATAGGCCTTGAAAGCTTCGAATACATCAAACTTCTGCTTAAGAAAATGTGTCTCACAATAGCGGCTGTAGTCATCTGTAAGGGTGACAAAATATTTGCGGCCTTCATTTGATTTGGTTCGCATTGGGCCGCACACGTCGCTATGTACAATTTCTAATAAACAGCTGGTTCTCTTATCTTCAGACAGCGTTTTTAATCCCGTCCGGGATAATTTCAATCTCGGAAAACAAGATCATTTTTATCCTAAACGTACTTAAATTAAGATCGGCCGAGCTGTGCCCTAAAATATTTTACAGGCATCTAGATGCGTCTTTCACCGAAGTTTTAAGATAAAAAAGACCATTGCACCTCGAAGGATGGAACTTATAGAATTTTTTCCGTAAGAACGTGAAAAGTAACAAGGGCAAAATCAAAGGCATCCAAGCAATTTTTTGGCATACGTTTTATTACAACTGAGCACACACCCTCGAAGATATCTTAAATCAAAAAATTAAATGTTGCTACTTTTTTCAAACCGCGATTGCACAAATACCACCCGTTAAACTCGAAAACTAAGTATGCAGTATTAACACAATTTAATGCCCATAGGGCAGCACCAAAAACACTTTCTGCCTGTGTAATCATTAGACACCGGATTATATGTTTTTCTGCATTTATGCTCCAAATATTTTGGATTTAGGCACTATATAAAATTTGTATTCGAATGGAAACGACATTTCGAAAATATGCATTTTTTTATGCAAAGAAATATGCAAGATATGTCGATAATATGCAAAATATGTCGACAATATGCAAAATATGTGTTTTTATGCCTTATAGGCACGAAGATTTCGAGCTTCGTGGTTAAAATATTGTAAGTGTCCTTCTGTAGTTCTCCGGGAACTACTATACATAAAAATAGCTTTATTTGGGCCACTATATCTTAAAGAAATGGGTCCCGGAAACAATAAATTCCATTTTCACTGAACTGCTTGATATTCTATGTCTTAGGACCAACAAATATATTAATTGTATTACCGCCACACCATAAGTGAATTCACAGGAGCGGATCTCCTCCAGTGGATTTTCTTATGGTGTAGTTTTAAAAATAAATGAAAAGATCTCACTCATTTTAAATATGTTTAATTGAAAAGTATGAAACAAAAACCTGTTTTTGAACGTGACGCAGATTTAGTGTTTTGAGGTTTTTACAATAGCGAATGAGGAAACTATTCATAATTGTAGAATTGATTACAGTATGCGTTTTCGTATTTTCTTAGCATTTGTATTCAAAACAAACTCTCTTGTCAAATACTTTATATATTTAAGCGTTCTGACAAAAGCCTGCTTTGATAATATGTCGTAAAATATGTTGGATATGTTCTTGACATGCAAGATATGTCGAATATGCAAGAACAACATGGGCTTAATCTTATTATTTTAACGTAAAACGAATTTCTGTCCAATCGAAATTTGATTTCGACAAGCCGTTAAAAATATGATTTTGCATATAATCCGATGTCTAGTAATCATTATTTACGGTCCCTGGTTCTATTTCATTATACGCTTGTAGAGGGTATTATAATTTCAGTCAGATGTTTGCAACGCAGTGAAGGAGACGTTTCCGACCACATAAAGTATATATATTCTGGATCAGCACCAATAGCCGAGTCTATCTAGCCATGTTCGTCTGTCCGTCTGTCTGTTTCTACGCAAACTAGTCTCTCAGTTTTTGAGCTATCGGGATGAAACTTTTCCTCTGCAAGGGTATAACAAACACAAGGATACAAATTTTTATTGGTAAGGGCTAGTACTCAACCGGTTGAATCCCTGCAGGGATTCCAGATTCAGCGTGCCTATTTAAATTTTGTTTTTAAGTTGTCAAAAATCAAAACGCCTACTTCCTACAAAGTTACAACGGATTTTCTCATATTTGTTTGAATATTCCTATGGGAGCCTTAAGATATAGTGGTCCGATCCTGGCTCCCAACCAGCAAAATTGTCTACTGGAAGAAAAAATATATTGCGAAACATGTAAAAAAAGTTTAAGGGTTCTCATTGCTTCTTTGCCTTTATACAGAGCTGGCAAGGTTAGGTCAACCTTTCAAAGTGTTGGAAAAAAACCTGTCATTTACAAATCCTATGAAAACTGGGAGTGAGCTAACACATTCAAAAAGTTTTTGCCCTTTTTTCAGAGTTATTTCGGTTTTGGTTTCTACTGACTACTTTGCTCGGTCTCCCAGCGGGAAAATGAGAAGTTGGTTTTTGTGTTCTTGAAATCCTGTTCCTTTTTGCAGGTGGCGGTGTAGGGATAGATAATTTCTGAGCGTTAAATGGGGGTGGGTTGCTGAGTAGCATCAATATAAGGCGACTTATGCGCTGTGTGATTTCTGTGGCACTACGATTATAATATTTTTTAACAAAAAAAATCACCAACTTATAATATTCAAAAATCCTATGATTTACACCAAAACCAAAAGACTTGTACTCACATTTAGTTTTAATATTTTAGTAATTTTAAAATTCGAAAAAAAAATATTAATAATTGTTAATCAAAAAAATTAAACTATATAACTATTATCATCTCGGCCTGAAGAACTTGTGAGATGGTTCCGAAGCCGCCCAGCTGGGGCATCCGAGCGGGTCGCAGGCTGCGGATAGCGAACGACCTCTACTTCCGGAGGTTAGCTGTGAATAAACTGGTGGCAGAGGTCAATCACGGAATCGTGGACGGAAGCCCCAGCAAATAATCAGCCCCGGACAGCCAGCGGGTATCTTGCATCGACGCAGTACCGACGATGCGAGTTGTTCAGCCGCATCTAAATAGTTGCTCTACACAAACCCAAAAACCCTACACACCACCTACCCCCATCCTCTCCCAAACAACATCTCACTCCGGGCCGGACTAAGGTGTAATTCGGACCGTGCCGAGAGTCAGCCTGGCTGGGGGCCCGGGTCAAAAACTAGCCCAGTCTTGAACGGTGAGCTCAGGGACATGGCGACCCCCTGTTCTAATTACCGCCTTACCCGGGCATCGCGGATCTCTGCCCGGGTGGACCTTCCCCTTCTCCGCAACTCGTGGGATCTAATATGGAGACAACTAACAAAACAACACAAATTAACACAGAGACGGGAACTCTTAAAAAACCCACAGAAATGCTGAGCACTGGCTCCAACGCAAGCACCAGCACGGTCCGGAAGGGACCACATCCCAAATTGGGGGTGTTGGGTGGCAGAAAGCCGGCTGCCGATACGTCCGCTTCAGGAGCAACTGCACCAAAGGCAACGGTAGGCACAGCCAAGACGATCGGGCCACCCACTGGTGGCAAATACACCTATGCGGAAAGACGGACTGCCGCCCAGACTCTGCGCTCACATGCAAGGAGCAACATTGCCACACCTTCGCCAGAATGGCTGAAGAAGGTAGAGTGGGCAAAGTTGGTGCTTCCCAACTATGGGCAGGATAAGCCCACACAGGAAGGTGCTCAGACGAAGCGGCAACGATCCCTCGAGCTACCCGGACCGTCGGCGAAGAGATCAAAGGTCCAGCCCTCGGTCTCTTTCGCGGAGATCACCAAAGATCGAGTCCTACTCGGTCTTATTGATAAGGGAAACCCGGAAGGACGGATCCCCAGAAATAAGTGGAAAGCAGTGGAGTCCCACCTGTCCATCATTTGCCTGCGCATGATCCGCGAAAACCCATGCTCTCCGCCCTGCTGCATGGACGCGGGTTGGTACCAAGGCAGCGTCAAGGTGGTAGCCTGTGACAGTCAGCGGTCGGCTGACCTATATAAGCAGGCGGCGAGTAAGCTCGGTGCGGTCTACGAGGGGGCGAATATTGTCGCACTCGACTGGTGCGACGTCCCCAGTAGGCCCCGAGCCCGGATCTGGCTCCCAGCAGCCATGAAGGCCCCGGAGGACATCCTCTACATGCTGCAAGTTTGCAATCCGCACCTCCCCACGAAGGACTGGAGAGTCGTCAAGGTGGAGGAACACGAAGGGGACGTAAACCAGGCGGTTTTGGTCCTAAATAAGGAGTCGGTGGCGCCAATCGAGGATGCTCGAGGCAAGCTGAACTTTGGGTTCAGTGCCGTCTACATGAAGGTGTATAAAGGCGACTCGAATGCTGCCGGAAGCCCTGCAGGCAACCCAGCCGAGCAGGTGCTTGCCAAGGAGCTGGAGGCGCCTGGTGGGCCGGAGGACGGCTACTCTACTGATTCCTCCTTAGGCAGAGAGATGCGAGCGCTGGGACCGGCTATCGAGGACGTGGACCTGAGCGAGGAGGAGGCCGACGTCACTGTTGTGGAGGTTGCAGACGCAGATGTCGCTAAGACTTCTGCAAATCAATCTCCACCACAGTAAGGCAGCTTCGGCTGCACTACAGCTTCGCCTGGCTCAGGGCGAAGCCGACCTAGTCCTGGTACAGGAACCTTGGGTGGTAGGAGGCAAGGTTGCTGGACTGGGAACAAAAGAGTATAAGCTAATGCTTGACCCCAAACAAGGTAAAATTCGAACCTGCATTTTAGCCAAAAGGCACCTAAATATATTTCTGCTTCGCAATTACAGCAACGGAGATAACACCTCAGTAAGCCTGGAGCTGCAGCACGGCTCCATTAGGCTGCTATCGGCCTAAATGGCCTTTGAAAAGGAAGACCCCCCAGACGCGCTAGTCAGAGGACTGGCAAAGGAATGCGAAGAGCTCAAGACAGGTTTGGTAATAGGCTGTGACGCCAACGCCCATCACACCCAGTGGGGTTGCCCAAACAACAACGACAGAGGTGAGTCTCTTTTTGACTTTATTCTTAACTCGAACCTATTTTTATGCAATAGGGGAAATGTCCCCACCTTCATAACCAAAGCCTGCCAAACGATCATAGATCTAACGTTGGTATCAGATTCACTAGTAAGTGCAGTTAGAAACTGGTTCGTCTCCGACCAGCACTCTTTCTCAGACCATAGATTCATTGAAACAATATTGTCCCTTGATTCACCCTCGCCGGTCAGCTTCGCGAACCCCAGAAGGGCTGACTGGCCTATGTAAAAAGAAGTTCTGACGAATATCCTTCCCACGGAACCGCCAGAAAGCACAACAGATCCACATGAGTTGGATATAACAGTAGACATTTTCACAAATGCTTGCAACTCGGCTTTCAAAGTTGCATGCCCAATAGGGAAACCAAGAGGGAAGAAAAAACCCCCCTGGTGGACGCAACAACTATCAATCCTCAGATCCAGCTGCAGAGGCCTGTTTAACAGAGCAAAGGCAGGAAACGAGGAAACGAACTGGCAATGCTACAAGCGCGAATTAGCCTCGTACAAAAAGGCACTTAGAAGAGCGAAACGAGCCGCATGGCACACTTTCTGCTCTGACATAGAAGAAACGACTGATGCTGCAAGGCTCAGGAAAATACTCTCCAAGACAGCCGCGCCTTTAGACTATCTACAGAAAGCGAATGGATCCTAGTCGAACTCTAGCAACGAGTCCCTGGACCTACTTCTAGGCGCTCACTTCCCAGGAAGCCAACTAACTGGGCGTCCTCCAGAAAGAATTGGCGGAGAAGGGATCAATCTAGATCTCCTCATATCAGACCGCAACATTAAATGGGCCATTCAGAACTTCAAACCATACAAATCGCCGGGACCAGACGGAATAACACCGGCACACATCCAACAAGCAGGACTTCAGGCCAATAAGCCTGACATCTTTCCTGCTTAAAAGCTTCGAGAGGCTGTTAAGCCTACACCTGAGAGCCACCATAAACCCGGCACAACTGTCCGAGGCACAACACGCCTACACCAAGGGTAAGTCAACCGAATCGGCGCTACATGTCGTGGTAAGTAGCATCGAGAAATCAATCAACAATAAGGAGTACACACTGATCGCATTCCTAGACATAGAGGGAGCCTTCAACAACGTACTACCAACAGCCATAACAGATTCACTCACAGAACTAGGTGTTGAGGCACAACTAGTGGGGCTGATCCATAAACTGTTGATAAGCAGAATGGTTACGGCCGCACTAGGGGCCTCAACTCAAACTAGACTAGTGAACAGAGGAACCCCACAAGGGGGCGTTTTATCCCCCCTTCTGTGGAACATCGCAGTAAATAAACTACTGCGAATTCTGGAAGGAGGAGGATGCAAAGTGGTGGCATACGCAGACGATGTCGCCATCATATTTAATGGTAAGTATCCACAAACACTCTGCGATCTTATGACCGCAAAGCTAAAAATACTATCGGAATGGACGATAAAAAACGGACTCGGGGTAAATCCCTCAAAAACGGAGCTTGTTCTTTTTACAAATAAGTACAAGATCCCACAACTCAACCCACCCATATTAAATAACTGCAATCTCTCTTTTAGCGAACACGCCAGATACCTGGGGTTGGTATTAGATAAGCGCCTTAAATGGGGCTTAAACAACCAAGAGAGAACCAAAAAGGCAACCATTGCACTTTACTCCTGTAAAAAAGCAATTGGGCTAAGATGGGGCATGTCACCCAAAATTGTAAACTGGATCTACACAGCGGTAGTCAAGCCAATCCTCCTATACGGGGTGGCTTTATGGTGGACCGCTCTACAAAAGCAATGTATCCTAACTCCACTAAACAAAGTACAGCGAATGGCGGCTCTGTGTATTAGTGGAGCCCTTAGAACTACCCCAAACGAAGCGCTGAATGCGATCCTGAACCTTCCGAGCCTGGACTTAGCAGGCATGGAAAGGGCCAAATCGACAGCCATTCGTTTGAGGGATACTGGGCAATGGAAAGCCCAATTTTACGGTCATGCCAATATACTTCAGCATGATAAGTCGATTCCGAAGAAAACGGACCTATGCAAATCTCATGAGTACACACACACACCCTTCGAGGCCCTGATCCCAGATAGGGAGGAATGGCAGCAGGGCAGACCAGGCTCGCCAGACGCAATCTGCTTCTACACAGATGGCTCAAAATTGGACGGGCACGTTGGCGGAGGGGTATACTCCGAACAATTAGACATCAGAAAGTCATTCAGACTCCCGGACCACTGTAGCGTCTTCCAAGCGGAGGTACACGCTATAAAGGAGGCACTCGACTGCTTAGGGAACACCAGCCTAAGTAGACACCTTAATATATATAGTGATAGCCAAGCGGCTATTAAATCAATCTACTCGACAAACACCAACTCACGAACAATAGCAGACTGTCGCAAATCTCTCCACGAGATGGCTAGACAGTTTACTAATATGGGTTCCGGGTCACCGGGACATCGTAGGCAACTGCATAGCGGATGAGTTAGCTAGGCAGGGCACCATCATGCCTCTCCTTCCAGAAAAGGAGAGTGTCGGTATGCCCATGGCAACTTGCAAGCTAAACATTAGAAATCAATTTATTAAAATAGCCAACACTAATTGGCAGAATGCACCAAAGTGCCGTATCACTCACCAGACATGGCCGATGATTAACAATAAAAGAACGTCAGCACTACTCAAACTCAGCCGCACAGAGTGTGGTATGTTAGTTAGGGCCCTTACAGGCCACTGGCTAGTCGGCACACATGCCGGCAGGCTAAAAGCCCCGAAAAATGACTTTTGTAGGAGCTGCAGGGATGAGGAAGAAGAAGAAACGGTGGAACACCTTCTCTGCTTCTGCCCAGCCCTTTGCAGACTTAGACTGAAGCACTTAGGATACCCCTTTCTTAACGATCTGACCGAAATATCGGAGATCAAGCTTAAGGACTTAAACTCCTTTGTAAAATCTTCAGGGTGGAAGACATGCTAATCATCCGGAAATGCTCTCTAGGCTTCTAGGACGAGACATAAGAGACAGGGGATCCCGAAAAACAGGGAAAAAACGAGATCATACGGTATCACAACGGACCCACAGAGGTCTAAGTGTGCCAGACGATAGTCTGGCTGCCGTTCGTACCTAACCTAACCTAACCTAACTATTATCATAATCAAACAAAAACACCTCTTAACGAGGTAAAAAACTAGTGACGATCGCACCTTCAACATACAAAAGTTCTGATATCAACATTTGTGACGAAAAATTATTACATTCATCATTACATACACTTTCTAAAATTTTCTGATTCGGCCCGCCTTAGCAAACTATTCCGGCTTTTAAAAATACCTTTCAAACGAGATGAGGCACAAGTCTGTAGCTTTAGTAGTAAAGAAGTTACGGCTTTCCGAATTTTAGCTATTTATAGCTGTTTTCCCGCTAAAATAGCTGGTTTTTCCAAAAGTGTTAGAACAAAAGTTTTTTATATCGATGTGATGAACGTCATATAAAATTTTCAGAACTTAAAAAACATATTTTGGACAAGTGGACAAACTGACAAACAGAATTAAATTTTCATTTTGGGAAGAAGAAGAAAATCTTACGTATGCTATAACTTTTGAAAGGAGCGTCGGATTTTATCATATGACCTCATTCGACGGGTATTTTCAATAGGAACACAACTAAAACATTGCGAGGGGGCATTTATCCCCACCGGCCCCAACAGCTCCAAATTTCGAAATTTGCACTTTTTCACTTTTACCGCTATCTCTCCCAAACCAATTGATTTTCTTGAGGTCTTGGTATGCACTTTAAGTTTTTGCAATACCTTTCGATTGGTGTATTACTCATTACGATCGGACTATCACAGCAGATTTTCAATTTTGCGGCTATATAATAGTAGTCGCCTTCGCACACTCTCCTGGTGCGCTTCGTCACTACATGGACTGCCGTCCATAGTGATGTCTATAATGATAATAATTATTTATTTTACTCAACATTTTTCAAATAATAAGAATGAATGTGGGATTCAACAAAATTATAGAGAAAAGCCACGGTAAGACGATTTAAATATTTAATCACATTTATCAAGGAATTACATTAAATTACAAAGAAAACTATTATTGTTTTTTACATTTTTAAACATTTTCTGTGAAATAAAATAATTTGATCGTCAGATCGTGGCCTAAGCCATTTTTAAGTGTTGTTAAAATATAAAAATTCGTGTTGGTGGTATTGGCTGCGTTCAGCAGAACAACATGATCACTGATCACTGATGGATCAGTAATCAGTAATCAAGTTTGTTCTGCTTAACGCTCATGCTACATTTCGAAGACGTAAAAGTAAAATATATAACAAATATTGCGCGCGCAATTTGAAAATTTATATTTTTCCCGCCCCCGCAACTGCAGCACTGCTCACAGCTATCGTGGATACATAAAAATCACAAATAGCTGAACAATTATAAAGAATTCAACCGAGTTTATGGTTTTTTTAAAATTATTTTGTTAATAAGTTTCGATATTTCGACTATCGATACATGCCAGTAGTCATGTATCATGTATCAAGAAAAGGTAGCGTACTTTTTTTTCTCTACCTGATCACTGATCACTGATGAAAAATTCTTGCATCATGATCAGTGATCATGTGCGTTCAGCAGAACTATCGTAAGAAATCCATCAGTGATCAGTGATCATGTTGTTCTGCTGAACGCAGCCATTGATAACACGAAAAATGTCTAATATACCTATAATATACGTAACCTTTAATGATTACGGTCCCTGAAAAGTATTGTTTAAACGAAATATTTATTTGGCGCCAAAGTGTGACCCTACTTTACAACGAAATGTACACCAAATTTATCTGCATTTTGGTATTATCAAGAATATAATGCAGGGTCACATCATTTTTAAATTTGTTGGAAAAAGTGAAAAAAGTGAAAATAGTTAATTTTAATCTAAAAAACAATAAAAAGGTGAGTGATAAAATAAATTGTGTCTTTTTATAATCTTTATTTCAGCGTTACAAAGGTTAGTATCACAGATATTTTCGCCATTAATCAATATACGCCTCCGGATGCTATGTTCAACACAAATTCTGCATTTCAGTGACACTTGAAATGTTTTTAATCTTTACCAGTGGTAAATGGTGTGAGGTATTCATTAAATGGTTGTATAAATAGTACTTCAGTACTAACTTAGTTGTTTAACTTAATCAAAATATTACATTTATTTCAGCCAGGCCGACTGAGACTTCTTGGGACCAGAAGTGTTGCGCCTGCGTTTGCCACATTTTATTTTTTCTTCTCATATTTTTTGATATAGATACCCGACATAAAACAACTGAACTGAGCTTAAGTAAAGGGAAAGACGTGCTACACCTCAAGCTCCGTGTTGACTCGTTTTTTCTGAGTTCCCGCTTCTGTTACGACCAACAATAAGCTTCAACAAATCGTCCCGGAGCCTAAGTCGTCTGCACATTCTGATGGTTTTCCCGTATCGTTGCTGATTTTGGTAAAACAAAACTATTTTCTTCGCGTCGCAAAAACCACTCATATCCCCGAAGACCACTCAAATCGTCGCAAACGCGGTGAAAAACGGCAAAAAGGCGGAAAACTCTCTTGAGCCAGAAAGCGTGTCAAAAGTAAGCAAAAAACTAGAGGTGGACCAGGTCAGCTGTTGTCACCATTCACACGGCACGATCACACCACCGCAGAAGTGTGACTGCTAAAAGAGTTCGTGCTGTAGAAGCTAGCTTATTTTTCGCCAAACCATTTTAAAATCTAACTGCCTAAACATGCCACAACCGCCAACAAAAAGAACAAGGGAAAAAACTTCCACTGAGTTAAGTTCTGCAACAGATGGGCTTTGGGAAAAAATAAGCCAGAAGTTTGCTGAGCAAACTGATTTCTTTAAAAACCATATGGCTGAACTGGAGAATCGCATTACGACCAAAATTACTGTTACGCTGGACGCAATTAACAGTGATATGTCGGAAATCTTGAAGAGAGTTGAGCGTTTGGAGAGTGAGGTTGCCGAAATCCGGGGCTTGCGAGACCAAGTCAATCGCCTAAAGTCGGCATCTGAGCTGCAACAAAATGAAAGGGTAGCTTGTGATCTCCGCCTTCATGGGGTACCATTTAATCAAGGCGAAGATGTGAGGGCATTGTTTCACACCCTTTGCTTTAACCTTAAAGTTACCCCCACCCCAAGAATTCGAGATATATTCCGGATGAAACCCCCTAGGAACGGTCGTTCTATAGTTGACCCAATTATAATGATCAAGTGTGATAGACTTGAGGACAAGGTTAACCTAATGCGTACCGTGGGTGCACTACGGCGTGAAACGAAAAGCCAGCTTTCTCTAAGTTACGTTGGCATAGATTCGCCCACTCCAATCTATCTGAACGAACAGCTGACTAAAACCTACTATGAGATTTTTAAAGCAGCCATGCACATGAAGCGTCAGAAGGTCCTATCGGCTGTCTTCACTCGTCGAGCAATGGTCCACGTAAAGAAGACGGGCAGTGATCAGGTCCAATGCATTGAGAACATGAAGGCCCTTACCGACATTAATCCTGATCGGCATGAGACACCTGCTGAAACTGACTCTACGAAGGATGGAGCGACTCCTAATTTATTTCGTTAATGTAGTTCATCTAAATGTTCTATTATAGAACTTCTATATGTTCATTTTAGGGTATTATTAGAAATATTTATATTTACTTTCAATTGCAATTTGTATTTTTATTATATTATGTGTGGTACTGTGTGTGTGTTCCAGGTCTTAGCACTTCAAAATACTTATTCTTCTTTTACTTATGTCTGCAATCGAGCCTAATCAAAACCTTAACAGCCATGCATTGATCAGAATTCTTTGTAAACAAACTCCTGGTCTGAAAATATGTCACATAAATGCGCAAAGTCTGACTAATAAAATCGATGAGTTCAGGTACCTATTCGAAAATTCAAAAGTCGATGTCATCTGTGTTTCCGAAACTTGGTTCACGTCCGATATCAGTAGTTCATATCTTCGTTGTGCTGATTACAATCTGTTTCGTTCTGATAGAGTAAATCATGCCGGCGGTGTTGCTATTTTTGTCCGTAAACAATTTAAATGTAAAGTTATACGTCAGCAAGAGCTAGAGAGTGCAATAGAATACTTATTTGTAGAAGTTCGAGGAACAAATTCTCAAAACATTCTTATTGGCTGTGCCTATAGACCACATCGTACTACTTGCTACTCAGATCTACTTGCCAATCTGACTGCCCTAACATGGACATACAAAAATGTTGTATTAACCGGTGATTTCAACAGTGACCTTTTAACTGATACTAGTCTCTGCGCAGAACTATTATCACTCGGACTTCAGCCAGCAAATGTCATACACCCTACCCATTTCACAAAATCCTCACAAACCCTACTAGATGTATTTTTCGTAGATGACGCAAGTAAAATCCTTTTATATGACCAGGTATCTGTACCAGTTTTCTCGCGGCATGATTTTATCTACTTGACGTATAGCATAGACTTAAGCGCTGAAGAATACTCCATAACCTATCGGGCCTTAAAAGATATAAACTATGCGCTACTGGACTCAGAGTGTAACTCTTACAACTGGCAATCATTGTATACAATTTCCAATGTTGATTTACAGTTTGAGTTCTTTAACAACAATATCGAGCTTCTATACAACAAATATGTACCAGTCAAAACAAAAAAAATTAGGCCAAATGAGAACCCATGGATTAGCATGGAAATCAAAAATACAATTAATGCGTGTAATAGGGCCTATAGAAAGTGGAAACGCTATAAAACAGATTACTTACACAAGCAGTACAGTTCCTTGAGAATAAAGGTCAATAAGTCATGCTGGTTAGCTAAAAGGAAATTCTATCAACAGAAATTCAATAATGTGTCATCTGGTAAAGAATTCTGGAAAAACATAAAAAGTATTGGAGTAGGAAAACAACGACAAGAGACAGCTTGCCATATTA